GAATTGACATTTCGATAACAAACTGGGACTNTGCTGAAAGCAAAGTCCCACAAAAAAAAAAAAAAAGAATTGACATTTCGATAACAAACTGGGACTTTGCTTTCAGCAATTCGAAAACAAAGCAGGGCGTTCGCCTACGAACGCCCTGCAAAAAAAAAATCAATTACGAACGCCCTGCAACAAATTATTTTGTCAATTACATTACCGCCCTTCCTCTTATAAATCTTTACTTTTACTCCTCTCCCATCTATAAAACCTTAAAGGCCTTAAGCGAAAGCACTTTTTAACTGTTTGCTGATTTTATCACTAGTTACTTCCCTTATTAAAATCTTCTCTATAGAGCTTTTATAGTAGTGTATAGAGTCATGATTAATAATCAACCTAGTTGTGAAACTAAAAACTTGCCTTCGGGGTTGCGAGGGGTTATTTGATTTATTCCTTGATCTACTTACCAGCATCAAAACAAAAATCATTCTCTGTAAACAGGATACAATTTGATTTATCATGAGGATTACCTCTAGCAGGTAAGAGGTCGTGGGCACTTTTCGTCAACTTCCCTGCAACATTCGATGAAAAGTTTATAAAATAGGTTTCTAAAAATTTGCGTAATGGTTTTGGTGGAAGGAGCCGATTTTAAATTCCCCACAAGTTTCCTTATTATTTTGCAAGTAGGCCTACTCAGTGTTTCAATCGTTAACCTCGTTGACCTGTCACGTGCCGCCATTCCCACTCCTGTTATCGGCATTTTGCTTGTTTTTAGCTTGCGTTAAGTGGAGCCAAATCGTGACTGACCTCCTACAAACGATCTTAGAGAATGACTTTCATCTTTAGTTGATCCATATACCCCAGATCCATCCACAAAAGCTGTTAAAAAATTTATCGGCTCTCTTATATCTAAAATATTTCGAAAAGAGGGTAGTAAAGTATTTGAAATGAAATGAAATGTATTAAGATGCATCAGCAACAAAATGGGCTATATAGCACACACCAATAACAAATATGAATTTGTATGAAAAATAAGTTTGAATGCTAAAAGTAGTTTGTCTGCGGTCGATAATACATCAACATAATATAAAATGAAATGAATGGAGTTTAGTCATACTTTTCTTCATCTTATGAGCTAAGGCAGACGCCATGGAGCATGCAGTGTGGGAAATGTTCATGTCAGCCCCTCTGATCTGCGCCACTGACAAAGGGAAACCGGGTTTGTTTGAACTGAGCTCAACAAACATTAAAATGTATTTCGAACATGCATTTCACTTAAAGATATTTCTCTCATTACTTATCAAAGTTTCAGTTTATTGATATATTAGGCCTATTATCATTACGTACGTGATTTACAGTCTATCTCGCCAACTGTTCTGACAAAGTTTCCACATCCATGGTCGCCTACTGGATTGGGCCATTTAATAGGGTAGCAGGGTTCACTAAAAATACAACATTTTGCATGATTATTCTATACCAAACAATGAAAATAAACGTTTGATAGAAAATACATGATTTTTTTCTATCTCTAAATAAAGTGTTTTTCGCCAATATTCGGTGCTATAATTTTTAAAGTGCTTAGAAGCGTGTTTCAATAATTATTTAGTTTAATAGATATATCGTCTTATGTAGAGAATCTATTCTTTAGTCTAGTGAACATACACTTGTTTACCAGGTTTGAGACATAAATTTTATGTCCATTCTAGGAGGTGGTATCCTCTTAAGAAGCGTTCTAATGAAAAGCGTATCGAAATCAGTTTTATTAACTCTTCACGAAAATAACCGTTCTCAGATGCCGAACAGAATGTTTTATAGCGACATGGTGTAAATGGGCTTATGTTAAACTCAACTTTCTAAACACTGACAACAATAAGACAAATATAGAATAATTAAAAGCAATACGTTACCCTCTTAAACCCAAGGTTTCATCGATACCCGTATCTTTACAACATTTATAGTTCCCACCACTTGCTAGAAAAAATAAATTGTTTTTATATCAATGGCAAGAATGTGAGTCTGGAAGACAGAGAGAATAAAAATGATCTTATAAACCACGACACTGTATTAATTAAACTACTAAAAACTAAATCAAACCATTGTGTATGTGATTTTAACCAATCAAAACGACAACATTTATTCGAAGTAGATGTTCGAATTGAAACTATTCACGATATGAGCTTCTTGGTTTGTTAATGACGTAACATCTGATTATGAATATTGATTACCTGATCCTTGATATGAAATAAACTGGCCACAGTGAAACTCGGTAGAAAAATGCAAAATTTTCAATGTATTGGAATTTCACATTAATTACATAATTCGTAATGCATGTACACAGAATGTCGGAGTACTTAGAGTTTTTAAATTAGCCTAAGAAGGAAATCAATCGAGAACAGAAAAAGATGTCGGACTAAGCAGAATGTCGGAATACTCAGATATCGGATATCACAGACTACACTCTACTTCAAAATGATTTGCGAGTTCAGTTCAGTTCACAGTGTTTGTACTAGAGGAATAATTCTTATAACTTTTATCTATATAAAATATATTCTCTAAAATAGCTGTTATTTCAGAATAATAAAAGAGTTCTCTTCGTATCATTTTACAATAGATCGTAATGGTAACTTACGTGTTTTCAATGTTTTTGTTAGGACGATGTCATGGGCTAGAAACTGGCCAAACACCTGGTGTAAATTGGCAAGTGGTGTAAGTGCAGGTTCACTTACGTTAGTGAGGACTTTTTGAGATATTTCCCCGGCGCTAGGAAGTAGATATCCATCAAAACCGTTAAACCGTGGCAAATGCTTTCCTGTAATGAAATAGACAAGTCATATAAGATACGTCAAGCAGAAATGAGGCAATCTGATTTCAGTTCTTAATATTTCGGTTTGTGTTATAACTTCAATTATTTACATATAGTAATATAGAAATCTTTTATCAAACAGAGCATTTCATTGGATGAATATCAGGTGGTCTAGAACAGGAGATGAAATGTTACAGATCATGGATGGCGTGTGGTGTAAAACCGAAGAGCAAACACATAATCTTCATATTTGCATTTGTTTTTTTTAAATGACAAGGTAATTGCATCGAATGGGATATACTGCGAAAAAACTTCATAAAATACATACCATTTGCAAAAGCAACAATTATTGACAATATCATTTTTGTAAAAAAAATAAATGTATAGATGAAACGGGCGAAATTATTAAAAAAAAACGTTTGGTGTGTTCATGTCATTCCTAACATTTATTTTCTATATTTATTAATGTTCCGAAGACTAAGCGACTACCAGCAATGAAATATAATTGTGATCAAATTAGATGAGTAGTAAAGTAACTCTGGTCACATTTCATACAATTATGGTAGCAATAAAGTTAAACCTGTTCTGGGTGAGCTCTTGATATTTTGGATCCTTTCGTTTGATCCATTACCTCGACGAACAAAATTTCGAATTATAAGATTGCAATATGTTTTTGATACGTGATCAAGTGATTGTAGGTTCAATACGT